TAAAAACAAGCTTATTAATACCTTCAAGTTCATGAGTATTTGATAATTTTTAATATTTTCCTAATTGTTTTATGTAACCATGTTTTCTTTGGCACTCATTCTGCCTTGCTTATGCTGTACTGGATTAAGCCAGCAGATTTGTTTGAATGAGAAATGGTGGGAAAGCTATAAAACTATATTCTTTTTATAAAATTTATATATGACAGTGTTATTAAAATTTTATAAGTACAGTATTTTGAATTTATTATTAAAATAAACAAACTAATTTAGGAAAAATATTCCATGAAGTTTTTGCATTATCTTTTAAAATTGAATGGAAAATATATCCATTTTGACAGTGTTTTGCACATGTCAAGAACAGAAATGATTGATGTCATCACTAATATTTGAAAAATATTCCTAATAAGAAAAGTAATATACATGTAATACCTATTTTTAAAAAAATTTTAAATATATTGTTAACATTAATAAATATTCAAAACAATTATTTTAACTTTAAGATGCATAATTATTTCATAATAAAGACATTAGTGTTGATGGTATATGGAACTTTTGAAACATAATTTAGCTAACAGAAAAAAGAATTCTGAGATTAAAAATTTAATATGATAAATACAACAAAACAGTTTAATAAGCTAATTAATTAATGTGACTCAATTAATGACTCTTTCATAGTGTGATTATTTTCAATCTTAAAATCAAAGTTAACTGATTGCAATTATTAATCAAATTAGTTTTTATAATGTTATATTGATAAGTATCAATTAATCAAAATTACTTGCAAAATCTAATCTAGGACTTAAAGTATGGATTGACAGACAGTAAACTATATTTTTAAAGAACGTTTATTAAAGTTTAACTCGATAAAACATTTGTTTTGCACTTGTAAAATTACGTTTTGAATTCATAATTATTCAGTAGTAAATTCTGTATTTCCAACAATAATTTATAAGAANATTTTTAGCGCAAGGTGCGTCATGTTTTCGGGGAATTACCGAAGCGAAACGGAAAAATGACCTTTTTTAATACCCATTTATTTATTTATTTATTCATTTTTTGAGTCATGCCTATATTTATTTACATATGAAGCGTAAACGCATGCACTGTAATATAAATATACAAGCAAGAGATTCGTTTGTAATGTACCACGGCCTACACTAAACTATGACTTCCATTTAAATATGTAGTTAATAATTAAATTATTATTTTTACTACATTTCTCTTCAGTCAGAGTGCCACTGAAAATCGTCCCTCAAGCTACGTTTGGCACAGGTGCCATAGATTGTCGGCCCCTGCTCTACGGATTATCTTCGGAAGATTGATTCGAGTCCAAATGAAATGTTCGGTGTTTCGGAGTCTGCCTGAATTTAGTCAGTCAATCGACAGAGACTGATCTACTCTGACAGTCGGACGTAACCGTGCAAAGAGAAAGCCTTCAAATCAAATGTTGCAGAATAAACCATTTTCTTGTGGACTGTCAACTGTCAGCAGCCATCGTTTGAAAAATGGGATTTTATCAAATGCGACTGTATCGTTAATTCTTGTAACTGCAACAAAAACGAGCGATTCAAAATTTCACAATTCGAATTATTGTTGTAATAAATAGTTTTAATCTTTTCGTCCAAAATATTTATATAAACTTCCATTAATTTTGTCTTATGCATCTATTAGAGTAAAACTCTTTGAAATTAAATATTAAATCGTTTACGAATACGTTTCAACTTTTCACCCGTGTTAGGTATTTTCCTTATCTTTGTTTCATCCTCGACAAAATGCCAAACAAAATGCAAAACACTTTACTTTGGACTTGGATCAATCTAGTTCAGACATTCTATTGAATGCTTGATAAAATCTATGCGAAATCCGAATAATCTGTTATTTCGAACTTCGTGAAATATCTGGGCCATTTGCAGATTGGTCGACTTTATCGGTTCAGTAAAATTCCGATCATTCGAGGCGAATTTGTAAGTGAATACACTACTTTTCTTACACTAATTCACAAAAGAAAAGTGTAAAACGATAACATGTATTACAAAATGATTTCTGGTTACCTTTTATCATTCAATGCAAGACACATTATTCACATTAAAATGTAACTATAGCCTAATAATACACATTCTTAAACGCTAATCTTGCAACTCAAATTTCATCTACTTCTAATTAAGATAGAAGGCTGAAACTTTGAGAACCTGCCCAAGTCCGATGATAGTGCATTTTAATGATGTTTCAGAGGGGTGGTCACACTATTGTCTCCCCACCCCGGAACCCGATAAACACAACAAAATGTAGAATCTAATCATAATATGTATACACTATAGTGATGGCACCTCAACTCCCACTGTATACATCATTACAGTGCTTTCCTCACCCCCAATCTCGAAAAACACGACCCATAAAGGATTTTTTAAATATATTAAAATCATTCTTCTTATATATGATTTAAAAGAGGCTTAAAGTAATACTATATAAATATTATTTGTAATTTTTAATCCGAATTATCTATGGTCTATATTACCTCAGATAATCGGGGTTCTATTGTAATTATAAAAAGATATTTTCTATTGTAAATAACGTAGGAATAAAAAATGCGAGAAGTGTAAAAAGTAAGCGGAGAAAAAGAAATCGATATTGTCTGTTAGAGTCTGATAGCAGATCGAGAAAAAATAATCTCGAATTTCTAAATACAGAAATTGATATTGCATTTTAATTGATCGTAATAAGTTATCTTTAATCGTGTAATTCGATTTCGTCGAAGTAAACGTAGGAAAGGGCCACACCTTCCTCTAAGTTAAATGTTAAATATTTAAACGCGCTCAGAGAACAACTTACAAAGTTCCATGAATATCTTGAAATTTTTTTCCCTGTAATTCATTTTATTAACGCCACTGGATAATATTTCATTCAAATATTTAGGGATTAAGTTATCTTTTGAGTGCTGATAAATATAATTAAACTATTATAAGACTGTTGCGTTTAGAAATTTTTATTTGCCTATTGCAAAAATTTATTGGGTGATGTTCATTGTTTACCATCAGTCGACGTTCCGTAATTTCAAAATCATTTTGAAGCAGTCAGAATTTTACTGAAATTTTGGTTTTGTTGTAACCAATTTCAATCTTCGCTAAAAATTGAATATCATTTATTCTCCGTCCTTATATATTACTGTACTTACGACCTACATATCGGTTTCTATTCTTATATCATCAATTTTATTGTTCTATAGAATAATCAATAAAGCAATATATTTATCAGTCATATATATTACTTTCACTTCTCAGAAATACAGTAGGAGGCCTAGGGAAAAAGATGTGAACATCCCTGCTCTAAATTTCTGAATGCTCTCTAATGAGATGTAGCCTATAATATAAAAAATAAATAAGTACAGTACCGCCTTAATGTAAGGCCACGTGACTTCCGAAATCTGTTCTCTAATCACTTCTTGCCTTGTCCCCTCCAGATAAGGATATAGGCTACATATTATCGACGCTGTTTATTCACATATAGGCCTATTTTATATTTTTTAAATTCGTAATTGCTTCTCGCAACTTCAAAATGTAAGACTGCATATTCGCCGATGAGTTACAGAAAAGGTTCAATACGAATATCGATATATTCAAAAATACTGTAGCTTATATCAGTTAAAAGTAGAACGATCCCCAAGATTTGAAATATAAAATAAATACTAACATAGATTTTTTATAAAAGAGATCAAACGAGGGAGTCATGTGCTTTTGTTTTAGCTCGACCCTTTTTCCTCAGGAGAAGTTGGCGCCCTTAATTGCAATCCAAATTATTTTCATTCCTGGGTTTTTTCCCATTTTTCAGCCCCGTGGAAACACTAAAAGCTTGTTTTAATCATACCCATCGTGGGTTCGGCCAAGTCCACATGAGAGGCGAGAGGGTAACGAAAGACTGGGCCAGACATATCCGCCCATGAAAAACTCCTGAGAATGCTCTCTCGGATTCGAACTATAGGCCGATGTCTTAACCGTCTCGACTATCCGGCTGTCTCATCATTATTACGGAAAGAAAAAAGTTTCCAAGTTTGTTAGTAGATGGGAGGTTTACTTTCGCTCATCACTTTTTTCATCTTGGTTGTTTTTTCCACACTTGTCAGTCAGGTGGCTGAGACAGTTAAGGAATCCGCCTACCGCTTTCTTGGGATCAATTCCAGCCCGTCGAAAAACCCCAGAAATTTTTCGAGGGGTAATCCGACCCCAATATGTCGGACCCCGTCCCTCATCATCCAGCTGAACCCACGATGGGTCTGAAAAAGACCCGTCTTAACCTATGAAAAAGACCCTCTTAGCGCTCACAGAGCAGAAAGGGTAGAAAAGTCTTCGGAATTTTGTTCCCCAGAAAGTTGGCAACTTTAATCGTAACTGAATTTTAAAGGTTGAATATTTGAGTAAATAGATATTGATAAAATTAATCAAACTTCTAAAAATAAAATTCTTATGCCTAAAACACATGAAAATTTAAGCTTAATAAACACAGACCGAAATTTAGATCTATGTACAGTATTTCTTAAGTGATATACATTCTAAAATTTATTATTCGTTCCATAAATCATATGAAACTTTTATTTGTTTCTAAGGTAATAAAAAGATGTAAAATTATCGTAATTATATGAGTATACAAAATATTTTATCTATTCCAGAATAAAAAAGAAGATACATTATTATAATAGAATGACAATAGTGTATCTTAATTTATTAATAGTTCCGGTTTAGAGGGTAAACAAATGATAATGGTTCTCAGAATTTGTATTAATATCTTTGCAACACACACTTAAATGTTTCTTTTATTTGGGTTGGGTTATCCACTTCATCTTTCTCGTGTAGGCTAATCATATCTTTTTTCCCGTACGTTTAGTAATTAGCAAGTTAACATTTATTTAAATTTATGTCAACAATTCGTCCATATAACAGAGCATCCATTATCTAACGTTGAATGCGAAATAATCAGCAGTTTAAAATAACTCGATTCGGTATTTGCAGGTGTAGGACAAGTATCTACAAGTACGTCTTCGTCTACTCAAAATGCTATGACCGTAGTTCCTACAACTCAACAAAATTTGTCGGTAGTTTCAGGTATGCTTTTATTAGCATCATTTCCCCCCGAAAACGTACTAAATTTCTTTTCGATTTTTCTCTAGGAAACATGGTAATACCCGCTCAGGCAATGGGACAAAATTCCGGCGCGACAGTCATGTATCAGACCAACCAAGGAGTAGTTTACGCTGCTTCCACAACCAATTCACTCCCAGATAACGTTATTTTAAATCTGGGCCAGCAGGACCAAGGTACGAATGTAATATTTAACCTAGGAAATAATAAAAATATTAATAACAACGCATTCGTTGATAGGAAATTCGAGCCAACAATTCATCACAATTCCCGTACCCGTCTCACTCACACCTAGTCAGCAGGTAATGTATTAATTAATTAAACTTATCGTTAATGGTTTAACTATTTTTCATATTAACGTATTTTTTTAGCAACAGCTTATTCAAGGGGCATTGAGTTGCCATTCTTCCGAGAACACAACAGAAGTTACAAACAAACGAGATAAACAAAGGAAGTGAGCTTTTAGAAATTCAATCTGGGGATCACCAAACTCATTGAAATGAATAGAGTCAATCGCCATTAACTCGACCAATCAGTGTCTAATTACCAAAACTTATCAAGTGCTGGAATGTAAATAAATATTTATAAATATAAAATTATTTTAATTTTAAAACTAGTTATTAAAGTTTGTCTTTTATAAAGAAAACGAAAATTATTGACTTTATTTTAAGAATTTAAACACCTTAAAAAAAGAAACTTATACAATTAAATTACAGTGATACCTCGGTTTTCGTCGATCGGCGAAATCCGAAGCAATTATTTCCATATGAATCATTGTAAATCCAATTAATTCGTTTTAGACACTCCAAAATACATACCAAAACACACTTCATAGAGAATAAATGTAGTGTTTAATACTAAAAACCTTTTCTCATATGATGGCCTCCGAAACAAAATTGCCATGTAGATGTTTTTGATTGATCTAAATTAATAATAACTGTTCGACATCTTCAATTGTTTGCGATCTCTGTTTCGTTAGCACATCCACGCCTTTCGCTACGTTAGCCACCTTTATTGCTTCCTTTTTCGTCACAATGGAACTTATCGTGGATGGCAATTTCCCGTACATGCGGCCGATTTCAGCAATCTTAATGCCGCTCTCGTATTTTTCAATGATTTTCTTCAACTAGGTCGTGTTTCTGGCTTTCTTCTTCGAAGGGCTGCTGACTCTTTTCTTTGGTTCCATGACGGAGCTAAAGGAAAGGAAAGGAATGGAATTGTTTGTCTAGACGTGCGGGATAATGCTCACACAAAGAGAAATAGCGCCACACTGAGCAGGAAAACGCGTGGGTGACCCTTTGTTTTCGCAAAATAAGCAGCGAGGTCACGTGGGCAGGCCGACGAAATCCGAGACAAACTTTTTGCGGAAAAAATTGATGAAAACCGAAACCATTTAACTTTCCGTGTTAGTCTCTTCTGAATTAACACTGGATTCGATGCTCAAATCTTCTCACATGCAATCATCTACAGTGTCTTTTGAAGAATCGGAAAATGCAACACACGTTATCAAGAGTTACTGAGAAAAGGGGTAAATTTTTAAAAATAAAAAACGCCAGAAATGGACTAGATTTTCTATCACTTAAAAGACAATTTATTTGGTAATATTAACGATAAACACATTTTCCTAGCATACACAGTAATAACATTAATACAATTTACATTACATTTAATGACCCAGTGGCGTGCTGTCATTAGAAGCGGTGGAAGCGCCGCTTCCCTTGTATTTTCTAAAAAATAAATACATATTAATTTTAATTATATGAAAATAATCGCACAATATTTTATTATAACCGCATTATGTATCTTATTACAAATTTCTATACTAAATGTGAAAAAAGATAAGATTGCTATTGTATATTCGAATATTAGTGGTAGAGTGGAAGTGCTGTATTGTCAGTTTCCAAACAGCCAGATTCGCGCATGCGCTTTAGAGCACCAACCTCACCCCGTTTAGCTGGTGGAAGCCAAGGGCCTTGGGTGGAAGCTACACACGTATAACGCTTCCAATTCTATCCAGGACTGGTTATGGGCGTTAGCTGCCTGCCTGCTAGATATTTGGCCGCCTTCGCTCGATTACGTGAATCACAAGTAGCTTTCTAACTTAACCCAACCGATAAGAATTTACCTCTATGTTTTTATGATAGTTTTCTGTATAGTTGACAGGAGTTTTAAAAAATCCGTTAAAATATTTGATATATTTATTCCACTTTCCGATTTTATATTACTCGTGGATTTCAATGTTAAACCAGTGATATTACGATTTCGTATGTCCTCTCTCCAAAGGGATGTAGAAAAAAACGTGTACAATTCTTGTATAATGTTAAAAAATTAACTGTTACTTTGGTAGCATAATTTACAACTAAATTTAATGAATGAGAGAGATGCACGAGGTACAGAAAAAGCTGCAGAATTTATTTTCCTTAAATTTACGATTTATGTATCCGTTTGTCATAAAAATTTGTCTTTCCACTTTTTTCCCGAGACTACAAATATTCGAGTACGAAGTAACCGGTTTCGACTTGTGGCGACTAATTCCGAACTCCGTCCGATCGCCACCAGAGGGAGTCCGGAGGCTATAAAAGACCGATTCGAACACGTGCCTTTGGTCCTGTAATTCGGAGAAAAAGCCAATAGGCTAGAGTCTCCATATTAATAAGATAGAAAGAAAGAAAGAAAGAAGTGCCTTTGGTCCTTTGTCGACTTCTCGTCTTGAGTGCGGACTTCTGTTTAACCTGTGCAACCTGAACTCTTTTGTTGGCGATCAACGCCACAGACTTATTTCTACTTAAGAAGTACTGTAGTTAAATAATTAAGCGATTAGGGAAACCCTGCTGAAAGAGTTGGAATATTACTTAAAAACATAACCGACCCAATCTCCAACTGAGTACAGTGGGGACTGATTTCTTCGAAATATTACATGTAATAAAGACAGACATTTTTCCAGTTCAACGAGAATGACCGAAAAGTCGTAAATTTTGGAAATTTCCGTGGACAACATCTGGTCCTAAAACGAATTAGTTAGAAAACAAACGACGGACAATCTATTAAGTTTAAAATATTTAGACTCTTACAGCTATGGTGAGAAACGTTTAAAATTTACAACAACCCTGTCGC